TGTAATGTAAATGAGAAAAAAGACTCATTTATCACACAGGTTTGTTTGGCTGGGCTGAAACCGTGGACACGCGATGCTGTAAACCCATGTTTAGTTACGGCTGGCTGAGACGTGGATTAATTTGGACCCAGCAACTCAGCGGTACTGGCCCAATGCTCCTCCGCCACAGCTGCAACGTCCAACAAGCGCATGCGACAGGTGACACTCAAACAGTTACGAGAGAAGTCTCAATTGCCTGTTTCTACACCAACACGCATTATGCTCCTTTTGCACTTGGTAAATGTATATACTTATTTTAATATATTTATTTAAATGTCCAAAGCGCTGCCAATAAAATTGCATTGTCAAAAAGCCAAGTCGTCCAACAGAGATAGAGTAATCTAGGTTTTTTGTTGTTGTTAGATCTAGCTGTCCGTCTGATGATGCTAGTTGTAATTACTGCCGAAACGTCGTACTTAGATGATAACTGTTGTGTATTTGCTCTCCAACACACCGGTGTGCTGTACTAGTAACGAATTGGCCACGTTCTGTTTACGTGACACACATTACATTTATATTTACGCGATCTAACCCAGAAACCCCCCTATATTATGGATGATATTGGTCGCGAAAGCCTACGTGTTAAACAGAGAAAGAGTAATTTCCCAACTGCAATAGACAGGAAGGAATGCATGGTAGACATGCACAGAGCCTACTGCGCATGCTGCAGATTATTCTGTGTTCCTGTAACTTTCGAGACACAGGACGCAGTTGGTTTTGTGTCGAATTCTATTCACTTAATTGCTGTACTTCATTTGTTTTGCTTTACGTAATTTGGTGACCAAGCTCAGTCACTAAGCGCTCGTGCGAGTTAGGCGTCGCCTCGACGTCTCTGAGTCCTCGCCTCTGGTTACACAGAATCGAGTTGAACTTGGATCGAATGCGGGGGGGACAGCGCCTCGCGAATGGGACTTCAATCTGCAGCCTCCCATTGTCTCAATTGGCCTCAATTGGCCACAGCTGGCGAGCGGAATGTGGAAACTGTCGTGGAGACCATTTGGTGACCTTCACGCGCGCCTGGCACCCCGGGTCACAGACCGCAGCGTGAAGGGCAGAGTTGTGGCTCTGTGAACGACCACTTTCCTCGACTTCGGGTGCAGGGGACGCAGCCACGCCACTGTGTGTTGGAACTTCTTTCGCACCGTACGTAACCAACTGTGCTAATCGGAGGTGCTGAGATCCTTAACACACAATCCAGAGTTCGCCCGTTCCCCGCTATCTCCCGAAACCCAGGAGTGTTGACATCTGATAGCCGTGCCCGTCGACGGCTCTCACACAGCGCTGATACCTTTCATTCCCCACTAAGAACATGTTTCAAAACACAGCTTTCCTCGAATTGCCCTTATTCCTCTATGGCTCTCATTTAGCCACCCGGGTCCTTCAGTATTGTCTTCGCCCCTTTCACGCACGGCGCATTGAGACGCGATGAGAAAATGATGCCATATAAACGAACATCGTCGTGAGCAACCGCAGTTGAAACAAATGGTGGCTACGTTTCTGAAATCCGCCCTCACTCCGACTCTGTCCACCCAGCAGTACACATGGGTTCATCATAGTTAGTCGATCGGCAGGTCACATGTGGTGGGGTAAAATGTGGGTATACTCTCACTCCTCCCAAGACATCTGGTCAGTGTGAAAGAGTAGGCCAAGATGCCCTCTTCTCGAAGGGCTCTCTAGAGCAAGAAACATCCACAAAGCTGGGTCAGAACGCTTCTTGCTGTACTGCCAAGCCTGGCCGCCTCTCAGCAATTTCACAGAACACGATGATCTATGTGTGATCCACCAACCCCCCTCCCGGGTCGTGTTCTATTCCCATCCACCACAACCGCCGGGTCGAGAGGTCCACAACCAACGCAGGGGTGGACGGGCGCGAGCAGAGCGCTCGCCCGCTCGCTCTGCGGGCTGAGCGGGGCCGCTCGCTGCTCTCCGATTTCCCAGCGGCTCACGCAGCCCGAGCGAGCCGAGTTGGGGCTGCTGCCACGTGGAGCTTGCAATGACCGCACGCTTTTATTGCTTTGCATATGGTTTGCATAGGGCTGATTTCATGATAGCAGGTTCCTATAAATAGCGAATCGTTGTAGAGTGCTTGTATTGCCGTGCTGTGGCCGGATTTTCGTAGCTCCTGTTTGTTACTCTTTGGTTCTATTGGGTAAAGTCACGTAGGTAAAAAATAAAATAACAAAAATCACGACGTTTCGGCGACTGTCCTCCAGACAGTCTCGTCCCTTCACCTGATGAAGGCCGCTTGTGTTGTGGCCGAAACGTCGTGATTTTTGTTATTTTATTTTTTACCTACGTGACTTTACCCAATAGAACCAAAGAGTATGGATCCTTGCAGTCACGAAAGCTTTAAATCTACTCCTGTTTGTTGTTGCACGGCACTTGGCCAATCCACTGCTGGATGAAGGCCTCCCTACACGACGGTTGTTGTGACTAACTATACTTCACCCCGCTGGTCAATGTGGGTTTGTGAAGGGGGTAATAGGAGGGGCGTGGTGAAAGTGGGCGGCCAGGAGCATTATTATCATGAACAGTGAACCAGGTAGCTTGCCTTGTTACACCCGCTGCCGATTACTCATTAACACATCTTAACGATATGAAGCAATAGGCGGGACCCCGGGGTCCCATCACTGCCCCGGGGTGGGAAAAACCGCGTAGCGACACGAGTCTCGCCTAACCGACAACAAAACTAGTGTCAATCGATTGGCCTCGTCGAGAGCTACTCGGGGCACTACGTTTCGTAAAAAGTTGAAAAATTACATGAACACGTTAAATTCACTGCCTTGGGGGGGCGGGCTCGCCTTGGCAAAGTGGCTGAGGATCGACGGCTGACCGGAGGGCGTCGTCGCCGCGCGCGACTGCGGCGGACGCCCCCCGGGGCTTGCGTTTGGCCGGTGGGGTGGCGCCCATCGTGTCGATCGCCGCCTGCTGCTGCTGCTGGCGCTTGTTGGCGCGAGTCTGGGCGGGCGGCGCGTTGCTGTCGTCGTCCAACTCGGCGACGAGATTGGGCGGGATGGCTGGATAGTAGTCGAGGCAATCGGCGGGGATCGAAAAGTACTTCTTGGCGATCACAAGTGGGCGGACTGAAAAATAATAATTGACCTGATTTTTGCAGGACCCCAGGGTCCCGCCAAATGATTCATATGAATACAAATAATAATCAAATACATCTTCACAAATCTCTCACGATCTCCGCGATGCAACAATCCAGCCAGCACCTGCCTCCACACGAGCTGGTTCATCGCTTCATCTCTGCGGTGGTTCCGAGTTCAATGCCTTGGCTGCCACTCCATCACTACTCTCGACCATCGTCCACTTGTGGCCGGGATGCATGCGACCCACCACGCCGTCTGCTCGCCCGTGGTCCTGGCGGTCTGAGTGAAGTCATTCACTGCGAGGTCTCCATCCCAGCGTTCCTCTTCTGTCTCTCGATTGACAATACCCAGTGCGCATCTCGCGATGCCCGGGGTGCGTTGAGAGATGCCCGGGGCGCATCGAGAGATGCCCGGGGCGCATCGAGAGATGCCCGGGGCGCATCGAGAGATGCAACTGCGTTTCTGTCCCACGTCATAGCAGGTTCCGAGTACGTAAGCATCGACTAAAAACATTACAACTCTATTCTGTATAGACGACAGATCAATAAAACACATGACTGTATTATTTATTGTATTTTAAATCTGTGTAAATATAGTTGATTCATTCTCTCTGGTACGGGCCAAGTCAAGGCTCTGGGCCGGGGAGTCCACTCCAAAGAACAAAGCTCCCCCATGCAGCCTCCACAGACTGCTGGGGCAAGTGTAGTCAGAAGCAGCAATGAAGGCCGGCACGGCACACCACCTCCACCACCACCACCACCACCTCCACCACCACCACCTCCACCACCACCTCCACCACCTCCACCACCTCCACCACCACCTCCTCCACCACCACCTCCACCACCACCTCCACCACCACCACCTCCACCACCACCACCACCTCCACCACCACCACCTCCACCACCACCTCCACCACCTCCATCACCACCTCCACCACCACCACCTCCACCACCTCCACCTCCACCACCACCACCACCACCTCCACCACCACACCACCACCACCACCACCTCCTCCACCACCACCACATCCACCACCACCACCTCCACCACCACCTCCACCTCCACCACCGCCACCACCACCACCGCCACCACCTCCACCGCCACCACCTCCACCACCGCCACAACCTCCACCACCTCCACCATCACCACCTCCACCACCACCGCCACCACCGCCACCACCGCCACCACCTCCACCACCGCCACCACCTCCACCGCCACCACCTCCACCACCTCCACCTCCACCGCCACCGCCTCCACCGCCACCGCCTCCACCGCCACCGCCTCCACCACCACCGCCACCACCACCACCACCTCCGCCACCACCGCCACCACCTCCACCACCACCTCCACCGCCTCCACCACCACCGCCACCGCCTCCACCACCACCGCCTCCACCGCCACCACCGCCACCAACACCTCCACCACCGCCTCCACCGCCACCACCGCCGCCACCACCGCCACCACCTCCACCGCCACCACCGCCGCCACCACCACCACCACATCCACCACCGCCACCGCCACCTCCACCTCCACCGCCACCGCCGCCACCACCGCCACCGCCTCCACCGCCACCACCTCCACCGCCGCCACCTCCACCACCTCCACCACCAACATCTCCGCCACCACCGCCACCACCTCCTCCACCACCACCTCCACCACCTCCACCACCACCATCTCCGCCACCACCGCTACCACCTCCTCCACCACCTCCACCACCACCACTGCCTCCACCACCACTTCCACCACCACCTCCACCACCAAGACGCCGCAGCCGTTGCTGCCCCTCCACATCTCAACTTTCAGCTTCCTCCTCTTCGCCCGCCGCTCTCCGCACCGCCCCCACCACCACCACCTCCTCCTCCTCGAGCTCAGCCCACACGAGGAAGCGGCAATCGCGACATTTCACGAGCGAGCCTCTCACTTCGCTCGCCCGTGCCGCCCAGCTCTTGGACAACGACGACAACAACGACGGCAGCAGCAGCAGGCACGGCGAGTGAGCGCAGCCGTGCAGGCAACAGCAGCAGCAGCAGCAGGTGGTGGTGGTGGAGCGAGACGCAGCGTGGGGACTGCTCGGAGGGTTGCGCGCCGCGCGTGGGGCCCGAGCTGCTGCCATGAGCCAGCAGCTGGAGCAGCTGGAGCTGGAGCGGCAGCTGGAGCTGGAGCGGGTGCTGCACGCCCTGACGTGCCGCCTGCAGCAGGTGGGGGTGAAGGACGAGAGCGGGCAGGACGGATTCACGCGCGAGTACTCGGTGAGTGCCCCCCCCTCTCTGTGCGTGCCCCCCCCCGCTCTCTGTGCGTGCCCCCCCCCCCCCCGCTCTCTGTGCGTCCCCCCCCCCCCGCTCTCTGTGCGTGCCCCCCTCTCTGTGCGTGCCCCCCAGCTCTCTGTGCGTGCCCCCCCGCTCTCTGTGCCCCCCCCGCTCTCTGTGCGTGCCCCCCCCCCCTCTCTGTGCCTGCCCCCCCCCTCTCTGTGCCTGCCGTGGACCCGCGCGCTGTCTCACCGCACCCCTCCCGTCTCGCCGCTGCTGCTGCAGAGTTTGCGGTGGTGCACCAGGGCGGTTAACATCGACTCACACAAACACACAAACACACAACACACAGACACACACAACACACACAGACACACACAACACACAGACACACACAACACACAGACACAACACACAGACACAACACACAGACTCACACAAACACAACACACAGACACACACAACACACAGACACACACAACACACAGAAACACACAACACACACAGACACACACAACACACAGACTCACACAAACACACAAACACACAACACACACAACACACAGACACACACAACACACACAAACACACAACACACAGACACACACAACACACACAGACACACACAACACACAGACACACACAACACACAGACACAACACACAGACACAACACACAGACTCACACAAACACACAACACACACAACACACAGACACACACAACACACAGAAACACACAACACACACAGACACACACAACACACAGACTCACACAAACACACAAACACACAACACACACAACACACAGACACACACAACACACAGAAACACACAACACACACAGACACACACAACACACAGACACACACAACACACAGACACAACACACAGACACAACACACACAACACACAGACTCATACAAACACACAACACACAGACACACACAACACACACAAACACACAACACACAGACTCACACAACACACACAACACACAGACACACACACAACACACACAACACACACAACACACACCAACACACAGACTCACACAAACACACACAACGCACAAAACACACACAACACACACACAACACACAGACACACACAAACACACAAACTCACACAAACACACACAAACACAACACAAACTCATCACACAAACACACAAACTCATCACACAAACTCACTCAAACTCATCACACAAACTCACACAAACTCATCAAACAAACACACACAAACTCACACAACTCAACACGTTCCGTCAACAACACCGCGTGGCCTTAAAAGAAGAGAAAAAAAACATAGGCGACGTTTCGGGGAATGACCTTTGCTCGGAATGCCGCCCACTATATATGTATCTGTAAGTGCACACAGTGGTTATTGCCGATCGTGTTGAGGAGTGTGGGGTTCGCTGTGGTTCCGCGCTCGCTCACAGAAACACCTCTCGTGTGACGTGACGGACAAAGGGCGACTGACAAAGTTCAGTTTAACCTATGACCTCACTGACATTCGATCATGCTACCTCCACTAAAACCGCATTACTGCCGTAAATATTGGCTCGTGTCTGTAGGAGTATCGGGTTCCCCACGCACCGGCTCGCCTATGCCGTGCCGGCCTTGATAGGTGCTCGCTACCAGCGCAGGCTGGGGTCAACTCAGACCAACGTCCTCTCGGGTCTAATAAGAGCTGCTACTGCGTAGGGCTTCTCCTATTGCTGAGCGCGGCTCTCCGATGAGTCGTTGGGTCGTGTTGACGGGTCGCGTAGTCGGGTCGTGCGCTGTTCGGGATGATGTCCGACGTTTTGCGGACTGGGGCGCTTCAATATAATTCCAGAAGATGCTCCCAGCAGGTGGAGCAAGACGTCGGATATCACGACTCGAACGCGCAGCCGGAGCGCTGAAACGAGGGCCACTTCGTGAGAGGCCGCCTCGGGCTGCGGTCCGCACGCTCCGGACGTGCGATTTGCAATAATCGCACGCGGAAATGGGCATTGCTCCACGCTGCTCTGAGCCCTGCGCCACACTCTGGCCTGACACACTCTGACCTGACACACTCTGACCTGACACACTCTGACCTGACACACTCTGGCCTGACACACTCTGACCTGACACACTCTGACCTGACACACTCTGGCCTGACACACTCTGACCTGACACACTCTGACCTGACACACTCTGGCCTGACACACTCTGGCCTGACACACTCTGACCTGACACACTCTGACCTGACACACTCTGGCCTGACACACTCTGGCCTGACACACTCTGACCTGACACACTCTGGCCTGACACACTCTGACCTGACACACTCTGACCTGACACACTCTGGCCTGACACACTCTGACCTGACACACTCTGGCCTGACACACTCTGGCCTGACACACTCTGACCTGACACACTCTGGCCTGACACACTCTGACCTGACACACTCTGACCTGACACACTCTGACTTGACATATTCTGACCTGACACACTCTGACCTGACACACTCTAACCTGACACACTCTGACCTGACACACTCTGGCCTGACACACTCTGGCCTGACACACTCTGACCTGACACACTCTGGCCTGACACACTCTGGCCTGACACACTCTGGCCTGATACTCTGACCTGACACACTCTGGCCTGACACACTCTGGCCTGACACACTCTGACCTGACACACTCTGGCCTGACACACTCTGGCCTGACACACTCTGACCTGACACACTCTGGCCTGACACACTCTGACCTGACACACTCTGACCTGACACACTCTGACTTGACATATTCTGACCTGACACACTCTGACCTGACACACTCTAACCTGACACACTCTGACCTGACACACTCTGGCCTGACACACTCTGGCCTGACACACTCTGACCTGACACACTCTGGCCTGACACACTCTGGCCTGACACATTCTGGCCTGATACTCTGACCTGACACACTCTGGCCTGACACACTCTGGCCTGACACACTCTGACCTGACACACTCTGACTTGACATATTCTGACCTGACACACTCTGACCTGACACACTCTGACCTGACACACTCTGGCTTGACACACTCTGGCCTGACACACTCTGACCTGACACACTCTGGCCTGACACACTGTGGCCTGACACACTCTGGCCTGACACACTCTGGCCTGACACACTCTGGCCTGACACAATCTGACTTGACATATTTTGACTTGACACACTCAGACTTGACGGATTGGCAGAGGAACACTTTTGTAGATGAGAAACGTGATAAGAAAAGGTTTGGTTCTAAGCAATGACACTTGTAGGCTTACAAATATCTTCAGTGCCTCTGAGGTGTATGAGGTCCGTGTGCAAACAGAGAAACAGTTACCGGCTGTATCTTAGTGAGCAGCACACTGGACCTGCAAGCCAGAGGTCTCTGGTTCGGGGAGACGGAGCGACGGCATTGGCTCACATGCAGGAGCGAGATAGATTGTAGCGATCGAGGTGCCACGACAGCTGACGGCAGATTTGGGAGGACCCTCTTACAGCAGTGGATAGATCGTGGGCTGATCACGACGATGAATCGACGACAGGGGGAGGTGGCGGCGACCCGAGTTCGACTCCCAGTCACAGCCACCATTCCCTTGCCTGCCACCACCCTACCCCCAAAGTCACCCTAAAATAAAAATGTTTGTATTTTATCAGGTAAGATCCACTGAGCTTTACAGCTATTATTCAGAAGGGACCTGGCTATCACAAACAATAGCTCTCAACGAAGTGGCTTGTCGTGTGGAACGTTATAGCAGCCAAATAATCTAAACACATGTTGATTCTAAATGTGGAGGGAAATACCAGAGGACCTGCAGAAAAGTCCACATGACCACAGGGAGAGAACATGCAAACTCCAAATATACAGGCGTCAAGGTCGGGATCAGACCCACGACCTCCTGTATACCAGGTGAGGTAGTTAAAATCTCGCAACTATGGAACCCCAACCACAGAGGGTTTCTTGAAAAATGTTAATCAATAATGGCCCTTAAATAACATTAAATTCAAGCCACTGAACCACAGTGCTTCAATAAATATGATAAGACCTTATCGGGACTTGTGCCTTTAACGCATGTGACTGTAACCCACACACTGTACTGTATAAAGACAGCACTTTATGGGATTTAAAATCCACAAATCCTCTACAATCTGAAAAATGGTACGGGAAAATATCGAGTTAGAAAATGAGCGAGGCATTGGGAATGGGTAGATGGACACCGCAGTCGTTCGGAGGAGGTAGTGGAAGATTTTCCCCCCGATTTGTATCTCCAACAAAGAACATTTTCAAAAATCAGAGCGAGGATTTGAGGGATCGACGCCACGGGGATATTCGCACCGCACAGAGGAAATAACTGTGGAGACACGAGGAACCCCAGACAAGTAGCAAGGGAGCCACGGAGTGAGCCGGTGACAACCATTAACCAAGCTCTGTGGTCCTCTATATTATAGTGTTATAAGCCAATTAAAAGTGTTTACATGTGGGAAGAAACCGGAGCAGCCGGAGAAACCCATGTGTGCGAGAGGGAAACACTAGCCCATACAGGCGGAGTAGGTGGAGTCCATAGTTTTTCTGTACTGAATTCTGGCAGGTCCATATTATGACACCTCGACACCGATTGGAAGGGAGTATCAGAACATCTGTGTGTGATCTACCAACCCTCACTACCGCCACATTGCTGGGTTACAGGCCACGTGCAGTGTTAGCCACCACTGCCCGGCACAGCAGACGGACACGGGGGGAGTAGTGTGAGGGGAGAGGTCGATAAAGGATCTCGAAAAAAGTGAGGGCCATCTTTTCCATCAATGGTACTGAGCCAATGGTAAAAATTCTACATTCCTATGGCAGGTCCAGTCTCTCCTTAGTGCAAACACTGTTGTCCTTGAGTCAAGTCAAAGTTTATTTTTTTGCTCAAGCGATGATCGATCAATGGCACTCACCTTATGCGGGACACCTGGGTCGGCCGTGGAAATTCCACATTCCCACGCACGGTGGAGGTAA